ATAAAGTATGACTGGAGTTTATATATAACTGCCTGGAGCATTTCAATTTAGGATAATCTCTTATTAAATGGGTTAAAATCATGTATAGTAACCCTAGGTGTAAAATAGTACATAATGGCTATTTCTCAGAAAGTTTTAAACTGTCAAGAGGAGTAAAACAAGGTTGTCCACTATCGGCAAATCAGATCCAACAATAATATCAAGGGATTAGAAATCCTGGGCTTAAAAACAAAGGTGTCATTGTACGCTGATGATTCATGTTTTCTTTTAAATCCACAACTTGAATCCTTCCATAGCCTCATAGAGGATCTAGATACATTTTCTAACCTCTCTGGATTACAACCAAATTATCATAAATGTAGTATATTACGTATTGGATCACAAAAAAAAAAAAAAAAATACATTACCATGTAGTTTACCAATAAAATGGTCTGATGGTGATGTGGATATAGTCGGAATACATATCCCAAATGAAATAAATGATCTCACTCCAATACATTTTAATAGAAAGTTAGCAAAAATAGATAAGATCTTGTGGAAAAATCACCCTGATTAACTCTTTAGTATTATCCCAATTTACCTATTTGCTTATGGTCTTGCCTACGCCTAGCGAACAGTTTTTTTAATTATAGGAGAAAAAAAGATTTAATTTTATTTGGAACGGCAAGCCAGACAAAATTAACTCCACTCCAGGACAGCGGAGTCACTCACCACCTTCCGGAGACACTTGAAACCCCACCTCTGTAAGGAATACCTGGGATAGGATAAAGTAATCCTTCTATCCCCCTTACCCCACCCCAAAGAGAGAAGAAAAAAAAACATATTGTAAAGTGGTTGTCCCACTGGCTATCATAAGGTGCTATCATAAGGTTATCTTATGATATGGCTATCATAAGGTAAAGGATTGCAATATTTACCTGGAGCTAACCCTGCAGACAGCACTACTGGGTGATCTGAAAAGTCATAGTCAATCGATCAATAATATAATAATACTTTTAGCAAAAATGTTTATTTTCAATTTACAATCTGTAGAAACAATGAGAATAGAAGGGTTCAGAACTTTTGTAAAACATCACAGTACAGTTGAAAATATATGGCAAATAGAAATCCAATATGGATGGTGTTAAGAGATAGATGGGTGGTGTTGAATTGAGCTGAAGGATGGGACTAATAACAACTAACAACAACTAATAACAACAAGATAACTAATAATGTAAGCATAATGTGTCCATAATAAGTATATATGTTATAGGTTGAGAGCTTTTGCGAAAGAGCACAGTTAGAAAGATATGGCGTATAGAAGCAAACCGGATGGACATCATGAAAATTATCGGAGAGCTTGAGGGTAGAGGAAGTTCTGGAGTAAAAACAAACAAAATAGAATTATTGGTAAATTGACTGTGTCCAAAAATGTATATAGTATGTATAAGCTAGAAGTAGAGGCCTAAGCGTTGTTTTTCACTAGTTTACTCCAATTAGGGGAGGGGTGGTGGGGTTGGAAAGTAATAAAGGGAAATACATTTTTTAAGGATATATATATATGTATGTATATGTATTTATATGTATGTATATGTATGTGTATGTATGTATGTGTATGTATATACAGTGGGGAGAACAAGTATTTGATACACCGCCGATTTTGCAGGTTTTCCTACTTACAAAGCATGTAGAGGTCTGTAATGTTTTATCATAGGTACACTTCAACTGTGAGAGACGCAATCTTAAACAAAAATCCAGATGTATATATCCCACTGTATATATATTTGCGGGAAAAAAACATATGGGTCTTCAATTCTTCAAGTCTCAAGCCAAGGTTACTTATCAGGAAGCTAACGCATGTCTTCAAGTCTCAAGCCAAGGTTATTTATCATGGAGCTAACGCAAGTCTTCAAGTCTCAAGCCAAGGTTACTTATCAGGGAGCTAATGCAGTCTTCAAGCCAAGGTTATTTATCATGGAGCTAACGCAGGTCTTCAAGTCTTTAAGCCTCAAGCCAAGATTACTTATCAGGGAGCTAATGCAGTCTTCAAGCCAAGGTTACTTATCATGGAGCTAACGTAGGTCTTCAAGTCTCAAGCCAAGGTTACTTATCATGGAGCTAACGCAAGTCTTCAAGTCTCAAGCCAAGGTTACTTATCAGGGAGCTAATGCAGTCTTCAAGCCAAGGTTATTTATCAGGGAGCTAACGCAGTCTTCAAGTCTTCAAGCTAAGGTTACTTATCAAATTGTACCTTTATTTAACTAGGCAAGTCAGTTAAGAACAAATTCTTATTTACAATGACGGCCTAGGTTACTTATCATGCGAGTTCAGCATCAGACTTGTCAGACTTCCATGTGTTTTACCAGGCAGTCTTTCACTGCTCACAACAAAGAACTACACAAAGCTGCTTTTTACTGCAGAATTAGACTCAGCCTCATTGATCATTACGAAACACAAAGCCTTGGTCCTGTTTTTACCAGCAGAATCACAGTGCAGCTGAATGATCAATTGTTCATACTGTATTTCTGCTCCCAGCTGCTGGCTTTGGTCTTAATGAAGCTATATGCCCGTGAATCCTGGTAAATTTCACTCACGCGCCATATAAGTCTGCTTCATTTGTAACTTATGCCCTATGTTAGTATGCAGACACCCCCTCAAACACACATGAACACACACACGCACACCTCCTCTCTCTCTAGGACCACCTTATTGTCTCAGTTGAACAGGAGTCAGAAATTAAACAGAAAACTTTGATGTCTTTACGGCTGGTCTGATCAATCAAATCCCTCCTATAAAATGTCAGCTGTAACCTCATTCTTCTTTTTTTTAAAGGGAGGAGGGATAGAGGGGCGTAGACAGAAAGTGTCTCAGGCGAGACATTTCAAAGTTTTAACTGTTAGACTCTAAAAGGGGTTCAGAGTTCAAAGTTGGTTTTAGTCTCCCCTTCACAGAAAGCACACTGAGGTGCAAAAAGTTTCATGTGGTGTGGTGTTTGTGTGTGTGTGTGTGTGTGTGTGTGTGTGTGTGTGCGTGTATGAAGATTATTGTGGTTTTGGTTGAGGATTAATAAGCCTCTAATTGGCCTTCTGGGTATTAGGTGTATGTGTGTGTGTGTGTGTGTGTGTGTGTGTGTGTGTGTGTGTGTGTGTGTGTGTGTGTGTGTGTGTGTGTGTGTGTGTGTGTGTGTGTGTGTGTGTGTGTGTGTGTGTGTGTGTGTGTGTGTGTGTGTGTGTGTGTGTTGGGTATTAGGTGTGAAGGGAGTGTGTCGAGACAGCGCCAGGGTGTGGCAAAAAAAAGTGTGGGGTGAGAAAGAGAAAGTGAAAGAAAAACAGAATAAAGAAAGAAAGAAAGAAAGAAAGCAAAAAAGAAAGAAGAAAGAAAGAACAGACATCAGAAGACATAAGAAAGAAAGACAGAATAGAAATAAAGAAAGAAAGAAAGAAAGAAAGAAAGGGTGATGGCTATGAGATTTCAAAACTGTGGCCTGATCAACAAAGGGTTTAGAAAGAGAGAGCGAGGTCAAAGGAGTCAAGGGGAGTTAAGGGAGGTAAGGCGAGTCAAAGGGAGTTAAAGGTTAAAGGGTCAAAGGGAGTTAAGGGATTAAAGGGGTAAATGGGGTTAAAGGGGATTCAAAGGGAGTAAGGGTTAAAAAAGGGGAGTCAAGGAGTCAATGGGGAGTTAAAGGGGAGTCAAAGGGGATGTAAAGGGGAGGTAAAGGGGAGTTAAAGGGGAGTTAAAGGGGAGTTAAAGGGGAGTTAAAGGGGAGTTAAAGGGGAGTCAATGGGGAGTTAAAGGGGAGTCAAAAGGGGAGTTAAAGGGGAGTCAGAGACAGGAGAAGGCTGTGAGAGCAATGTGTTACTAACCATCATGTTTCTCTCACAGTGACTCCCTGGCTCCTCCCCTCCTCTCTCCTATCTCTCTCTCTGAGACATTGCTACTGGCCAACTGCCCACTGTAAATTATTCTCCTACCTATACCCTTAGCCCTAACCCCCTGCCTTGGTAAGGGGTGTTCAGTCAGTAGGGGCTTTAACGTATGAGGGTTAGAATGGATACATTAAGGGGTGTCAGTAGGGGCTATAGCGAATGAGGGTTAGAAGGGATACATTAAGGGGTGTTCATTAGTTTGGCCAGTAGCCAAGCAGGGCCAGGGGTCCAATGGTATTAGAAGTAGGTATCTGGTGTTTAGCCAAAGACACAGAGACTGTTGGTAATGGTCTGACAGATTAGGAAAGCCATATTATTTTACTGCCATTCAAGCCCTGTGTTTACTGCCATTAAGCCCTGTGTGTGTGTGTGTGTGTGTGTGTGTGACTATGTGTGTGTATGTATCGGTAAACCCAGTGGCTCGTCACCCAATCACCTCGATGAAAGATGAGGAAGGAAGCAGCCCTGGCACTGGGACTCTGACAGACCCCCCCTCACGCCCCCCCTCAATTCCCCACCACAGACAGCAGAGCTCAAACTCCCCCTTCCCTTACTCAAAGACCCCCCTCCTCTATACTCACTGTCCCCTTTAGCTCACATAGCCCTGCCACCCTGTCTGGTAATCATGGCCTAGGTGCTCTGCTCAGTGCTCAGTTCAGTAACCCAACACCAGCCACTCTGGATTCCACTGCAGCCCTATGTCTGTCTCTGCCAGCCAGCCCTGAGCCCCACATAGCAACCATAGAGCCAACCTTTCCCCTGCCCAGACCTGCTGCAGAGAGACAGACAGACAGTAAAGCTGCAGCAGTCACTAGAGAGACAACTGTAGCTAGCTGATTCAGAGGGGAGCTCTCTCCATGCACTCCTCTTTCCCTGTAGACCTCAGTGCCACTGCAACTAACTCCAACAGGACCCGGCATTGTTTGACTACAGAAACGTATGAATAGATCTAGTGGATATTCTTCTGTGAGATCGAAACATTCGACTTTATAAAACATTTTATCCGACATTTATGACATTGGAACAGAATGGTGTGAGCCGATCTAGTTGAGGTATTTCTGTGTTCACCTCCCACTCTGTCTGTCGTCTCTAAGGTCTCTCCATGGCAACGAGATCTCCGAGCTTCCTGACGGCATTTTCAGTGATGTGGCCTCTCTGTCTCACCTGTGAGTACACACACGCACACTCCGCTCACGCACGCATGGACACACACACAAACACACACACAGGAGCATGCTCAATAAACACAAACAGATACACATGGGTACCAGTAATACCAATCCACACATGAATACACCTTTCACACACGCAAAGAAGTAAACACAAACAAATAAACATCTTGTCTAGAGAGAAAGAGAAGGTACTGGGGGATGAGGTAAAGAGAAATATTTAGAGAAGTTACTGGGGGATGAGGTAAAGAGAAAGAGAAGTTAGTGGAGGATGAGGTAAAGAGAAAGATCTAGAGAAGTTACTGGGGGATGAGGTAAAGAGAAAGATTTAGAGAAGTTAGTGGGGGATGAGGTAAAGAGAAAGAGAAGTTAGTGGAGGATGAGGTAAAGAGAAAGATCTAGAGAAGTTACTGGGGGATGAGGTAAAGAGTAAGAGAATGTACTGGGGGATGAGGTAAAGAGAAAGATCTAGAGAAGTTACTGGGGGATGAGGTAGAGAGAAAGAGAAGTTAGTGGAGGATGAGGTAAAGAGAAAGATCTAGAGAATTTAGTGGGGGATGAGGTAAAGAGTAAGAGAAGGTACTGGGGGGATGAGGTAAGAGAAAGATCTAGAGAATTTAGTGGGGGTTGCTTGTCTTCGGAATACATTGATCCACAGTCGTGGCTTTCATGTTAGCAGATGTCAGATGTCAGCTATTGGACTGAACTGAAACATGAGCCTGTTATTCGAAGTAATGGAACAGCTTCAATCAAGCAGTGTGTGTGTGTGTGTGTGTGTGTGTTTGTGTGTGTGTGACTGTTTGACTGTGCATAACTGTGCCTACATCGATTCATGCAGGCACAATGTAAAATTATGATTGAGGGCAGTGTTTCTCAACCCCCAGTCTGTCAAATAAGTTATCCAAAAGTCATTTTATTAGAGATAGTTTTCATCAAACAAACTTTTCAAGGAGGTAAAATTGCTGGTCCTTTTTTAGAAAGGAGAGACTAAGGGGAATTTTCTGTCCAGCATCCCATTGACAGCCCGAATAGCCAAAATCTATAACTGACCCGTCCTTAACACTAACCTTAACCAAACCCCTAACCTTAACCCCTTACCCTACCCTTAACCTAATTATAAATATTGGTTCCCTTTCTAGAAGTACTGTACTGTAACAGTTGAGTGTAGCTCTGTGTTATCTGAAGGATGAGAGAGACACCTGCTGGTCAAATAGAGAAGTACATCTAGTGAACCTCTGCCCTCATGAATCTGAAAATGCATCCTTCTTTCTGCCATGATTAATTGGTTGATGGATTGATTCCTCAAGATGATTGGTGCCAACCCTCTGACTGACCTTTACCTGTCCCCAGTGGTGTAAAGTACTTAAGTAAAAATACTTTAAAGTACTACCTAAGTAGTTTTTGGAGGTATCTGTACTTTACTATTTATATTTTTTACTACTTTTACTTTTACTCCACTACATTCTTAAACAAGAGAACATCCCTGGTCATTCCTACTGCCTCTGATCTGGCTGACTCACTAAACAAACATGCTTCGTTTGTAAATGATGTCTGAGTGTTGGCATGTGCCCCTGGCTATCCAATAAAAAAATATATTTAAAAATTGTGCCGTCTGGCTTGCTTAATATAAGGAATTGGAAATTTACATTTAACATTTACATTTTAGTCATTTTATTTTTTCAATGATTTACACTTTTACTTTAACTTTAGATACTTAAGTATATTTTAGCAATTACATTTACTTTTGATACTCAAGTATATTTACACTGAACAAAAATATAAACACAACATGTAAAGTGCTGGTCCCATCCTTCATGAGCTTAAATAAAAGATCCCAGAAATGTTCCATACGCACAAAAAGCTTATTTCTCTCAAATGTTGTGCACACATTTTTTACATCCCTGTTAGTGAGCATTTTATCCTTTGTCAAGATAATCCATCCACCTGACAGGTGTGGCATATCAAGAATATGATTAAACAGCATGATCATTACACAGGTGCACCTTGTGCTGGGGACAATAAAAGGTCACATGCAATTGGCATGCTGACTGCAGGAATGTCCACCAGAGCTGTTGCCAGATAATTGAATGTTCATTTCTCTACCATAAGCCACCTCCAATGTCGTTTTAGAGAATTTGGCAGTACATCCAACCGGCCTCACAACCGCAGACCACCTGTAACCACACCAGCCCAGGACCTCCACATCTGGCTTCTTCACCTGCGGGGGGGAAAGGGGTGGGAGGGGGGGGGGGGTATTTCTGTCTGTAATAAAGCCCTTTTGTGGGGAAAAACTCATTCTGATTGGCAGGGCCTGGCTCCCCAGTGGGTGGGCCTGACTCCCAAGTGGGTGGGCCTATGCCCTCCCAGGCCCACCCATGGCTGCGCCCCTGCCCAGTCATGTAAAATCCATAGATTAGGGCCTAATGAATTCATTTCAATTGACTGATTTCCTTATATGAACTGTAACTCAGCAAAATCGTAGAAATTGTTGCCTGTTGCGTTTATATTTTTGTTCAGTATAAAACCAAATACGTTTACTCAAGTAGTATTTTTCCTAGGTGACTTTCACTTTTACTTGAGTCATTTTCTATTAAGGTATCTTTACTTTTACTCAAGTATGACAATTGGGTACTTTTTCCACCACTGCCTGTCCCTGACCCTTAACCTCTGACCCTTCACCCTCAGGGCTATTGGTGCCAACCCCCTGTACTGTGACTGCCGTCTGCTCTGGCTGTCTGACTGGGTGAAGACGGGCTACAAGGAGCCTGGCATCGCCCGCTGTGCCGGACCTACGGGCATGGAGGGAAAGCTGCTGCTCACCACCCCTGCCAAGAAGTTTGAGTGCCACGGTGAGATGGGTTAATTCATTTAGTTTAATTTCGTTTAATAAGGAACCAGGGATTCCCCTTAACTATTCATGTCCCATGGTAATTATTGTGTAGATCCAGCTATACAGTATACTGTATACAGTGCCTTCAGATAGTATTAATACACCTTGACTTATTCCACATTTTGTTGTGTTACAGCCTGAATTCAAAATGGAATAAAATAAAAAAAATCTCACCCATCTACACACAATACCCCATAATGACAAAGTGAAAACATGTTTTTAGAATTTTCAGCAAATGTATTTAAAATGAAATACAGACATACTGCATCTCATTTACATAAACATTCACACCCCTGCGTCAATACTTTGTAGAAGCACCTTTGGCAGCGATTACAGCTTTAAGTCGTCTTGGCTATATGTCTGTATCGGCTTTGCACATCTGGATTTGGGGATTTTCTCCATTCTTCCTTGCAGATTTTCTCAAGCTCTGTTAAGTTAGATGGGGACCAGGTGGGAACAGCAATCTTCAAGTCTTTCCATAGATCATAGGGCCACTCAAGGACTTTGACATTCTTGTTCTGAAGCCCTTCCAGTGTTGCTTTGGTTGTATACTTGGGGTCATTGTCCTGTCAGACCGTAAATCTTTGCACCAGTCTACAATCGTTTGCACTCTGAAGCAGGTTCTCATCCAGGATTTGCCTGTATTTGGCTACATTCATTGTTACCTCTATCCTTGCCACACTCCCAGACCCTGCCGGTGAAAAGCATCCAATAGCATGATGCTGCCACCATCATGCTTCACGGTAGATATGGTGTTAGATGGGTGATGAACTGTGCCTGGTTTTTACATTTCCCAATGATGGAGACCACTGTGCTCTTGGAAACTTTCAACACCCTAGAAATTGTTTTATACCCTTCCCCAGATACAGTACCAGTCAAATGTTTGGACACATCTACTCATTCAAGGGTTTTTCTTTATTTTTACTATTTTCTACATTGTACAATAATAGTGAAGACATCAAAACTATGAAATAATACATATGGAATCATGTAGTAACCAAAAACGTGTTAAACAAATCAAAATATATTTTAGAATCTCCAAAGTAGCCACCCATTGCCTTGATGACAGCTTTGCACTCTCTTGGCATTCTCTCAACCAGCTTCATGAGGAATGCTTTTCCAACAGTTCCCACATATGCTGAGCACTTGTTGGCTGCTTTTCCTTCACTCTGCGGTCCAACTCATCACAAACCATCTCAATTGGGTTGAGGTCGAGTGATTGTGGAGGCCAGATCATCTGATGCAGCACTCCATCACTATCCTTCTTGGTCAAATAGCCCTTACACAGCCTGGAGGCGTGTTTTGGGACATTGTCCTGTTGAAAAACAAATGATAGTCCCAATAAGCCCAAACCAGATGGGATGGCGAATAGCTGCAGAATGCTGTGGTAGCCATGCTGGTTAAGTGTGCCTTGAATTCTAAATAAATCACTAACAGTGTCACCAGCAAAGCACCCCCACACCATCACACCTCCTCCTCCATGCTTCACGGTGGGAACCACACATGCGGAGATAATCCGTTCACCTACTCTGCGTCTCACAAAGACATGGCGGTTGGAACCAAAAATCTCAAATTTGGACTCATCAGACCAAAGGACTGATTTCCACCGGTCTAACATCCATTGCTTGTGTTTCTTGACCCAAGCAAGTCTCTTCTTCTTATTGGTGTCCTTTAGTAGTGGTTTCTTTTCAGCAACTCAACCATGAAGGCCTGATTCACGCAGTCTCCTCTGAACAGTTGATGTTGAGATGTGTCTGTTACTTGAACTCTGTGAAGCATTTATTTGGGTTGCCATCTGAAGTGCAGTTAACTCTAATTAACTTATCCTCTGCAGCAGAGGTAACTCCTTTCCTGTGGTGGTTCTCATGAGAGCCAGTTTCATCATAGCGCTTAAAGGTTTTTGCGACTGCACTTGAAGAAACTTTCAAAGTTCTTGAAATTTTCCGGATTGACTGACCTTCATGTCTTAAAGTAATGATGGACTGTCGTTTCTCTTTCCTTATTTGAGCTGTTCTTGCCATAATATGGACTTGGTCTTTTATCAACTAGGGCTATCTTCTGTATATCCCCCTACCTTGTCATAACACAACTGACTGGCTCAAATGCATTAAGAAGGAAAGAAATTCCACAAATTAACTTTTAACAAGGCACACCTGTTCATTGAAATCCATTCCAGGTGACTATCTCATGAAGCTGGTTGAGAGAATGCCAAGAGTGTGCAAAGCTGTCATCAAGGCAAAGGGTGGCTACTTAGAAGAATGTCAAATATAAAATAGATTTTGATTTGTTTAACACTTTTTTGGTTACTACATGATTTCATATGTGTTATTTTATAGTTTTGATATCTTCATTATTATTCTACAATGTAGAAAATAGTAAAAATAAAGAAAAACCCTGGAATTAGTAGGTGTGTCCAAACTTTTGACTGGTACTGTATATGCCTCATCACAATTCTATCTCGGAGAGTGTCATAGCAAAGGGGTGTGAATAGTTATGTAAATGAGATTTTTCTGTATTTCTTTTTCAATACATTTGCTAAGATTTCTAAGAACATGTTTTCACTTTGTCATTATGTGGTATTGTGTGTAGATGTGTGAGAATTTTATAAAATGTAATCCATTTTGAATTCACGCTGTAACACAACAAAATGTGGAATAAGTCGAGGGGTATTAATACTTTCTGAAGGCACTGTATATGTAAAGTGTGTTGTACCGCAGGGCAGCTCTCTTGGCCCTCTACTCTTTTCTATTTTGACCAATGACCTGCCACTGGCATTAAACAAAGCCTGTGTATCTATGTATGCTGATGATTCAACCCTATATGTGTCAGCAACCACAGCTAGTGAAATTCACTGCAACCCTAAACAGAGAGTTGCAGTCAGTTTTAGAATGGGTGGCTAGTGATAAAATGAACATAGCCCTGAACATCTCTGAAACTAAGAATTGTATTTGGTACAAATCATTCCCTAAGTTCTAGACTTCAGCTGAATCTGATAATGAATAATATGGCAGTTGAGCAAGTTGAGGAGACCAAATTACTTGGTGTTACCTTGGATTATAAACAGTCATGGTCAAAACATATTGATTCAATGGTTGTGAAGATGGGGATAGGTCTGTCCGTGATAAAGAGATGCTCTGCTTTTTTGACACCACACAATCAAGTCCTGCAGGCTCTAGTTTTATCTTATCTTGATTATTGTCCAGTCATATGGTCAGGTGCTACAAAGAAGGACCTAGAAAAACTGCAGCTGGCCCAGAACAGAGCTGCACGTCTTGCTCTTCACTGTAATCAGAGGGCTAACATCAATACTATGCAGGCCAGTCTCTCTTGACTAAAAGTAGAGGAGAGACTGACTGCATCACTTCTTGTTTTTATAAGAAACATTAATGTGTTGAAAATTCCAAATAGTTTGCATAGTCAACTTATACACAGCACTGACATACACCCCACCAGACATGCCACCAGGGGTCTTTGCACAGTCCCCAAATCCAGAATAAATTCAAGAATATGTACAGTATTATATAGAGCCATGATTGCATGGAACTCCCTACACAAACAAGTGAACAGCAAACCTTTAAAAAAAAGATAAAGCAACACCGCACGGCAACGCCTCTCCCCTATTTGACCTAGATATCGTTTGGCTGTACTGATATGTAGGCTATGTGTGACATTTTACATTTATGTAGTTCTGTCCTTGAGCTGTTCTTGTCTATTAATGTTCTGTATTAAGTCATGTTTCATGTTTTGTGTGGACCCCAGGAAGAGTAGCTGCTGCTATCACAAAAGCTAATGGTGATCCTAATAAAATACCAAATACCAATTGAACAGGAAAGATAATCATAATCTAAAACGATAAAATGTGTGTGTATAGGTGAGGTGGACAGTGGCGTCCTGGCCAAGTGTAACCCATGCCTGTCCAGCCCGTGTGTCAACCAGGGGATCTGTCACAGTGATCTGGCAGAGATCTACAGGTGTAGCTGTCCTCCTGGATTCAAGGTGAGATCTCACATTAACCATTTACCTGCAGTGTTCTTCTCGCCATGTTGTGCAGGCTTTTGTTCAAGTCCAGCTCTAACACATACTTAGGCTAACGTAGGGCTCGATTCAATCCATATCTGCGAAGTGATTGAAATTTAAAGGCAATGTTCCCGCGTTAGTGGAGAATGCATTCACGGTAAACGCTGCATATGTTGGCTCAATCTGAAATTACCTTTAGATTTCAAGCGCACTATAGCGCTGAACTTCGGCGATATAGATTGAATTGAGTCCTTACTTGTATTTGTGGCTGTTGACGCATAAGGTCGTGACCTCTCCACTTCTGACATTATAAAGCCTGTTGTTCAGCTTATGCATGCTTTTGTTCCAGCCCAGCTTTTTTTATTTCTGTTTTTAATTTTTATTTATTTCCTGATTCCATTGATGAAAATGAAATAACTTGAAACTCATGAACATGCATTAACTGCACATGAGTTAATTAGTGTAATCAGTTTGTTCACAGACACTGTAGATCTCCAGGAATAGGGTTGGTTGGTGACCACTGAACTTTTCTCTGGGTCTGCAGGGTAGGAACTGTGAGACTTCTCTGAACGTGTGTGTCAGTAACCCCTGTGTCAACGGGGGCACTTGCCAAATCAATGAGGAGGAGGAGGAGGGGGGATACCGCTGTGCCTGTCCCTTTGGCTTTGACGGTCCTACCTGCCTGACCAACATAGATGACTGTGAAGATAATGACTGTGAAAACGGAGCTACCTGTATAGATGGAGTCAACAACTATACCTGCCTCTGTCCACCTTACTACACAGGTAACACACTTTACACTATAGACCAGCCTTCTCTCTATTGCTGTTGAGTTGACCTATTGGGTTGCAATTTATCATCCATAAATGTAATACCCCTCTCTCCTCTCTCTCTCTCTCTCCTCTCTCTCTTCTCTCCTCTCTCTCCTCTCTCCTCTCTCTCTCTCTCTCCTCTCTCTCTCTAGGGGAGGTGTGTGAGGAGATGGAGGATGTGTGTGCTCCAGGTCTCAATCCATGTCAACACCAGTCTACCTGTCTCATCACGTCTACTGGACCCCAGTGAGTACACAATGTCAACGTTTGTGTATGTGAGACATAAAGATTTGCGTTGTCAATGCCTAGGCTTAAGCTCAGTGGGCTAATGCTAACGTTTGTGTGTGTGTTGCAGGTGTGTGTGTTCTCCGGGCTACGTCGGTGATGACTGCAGTGTGGACTACGATGACTGTGAGGAGAATCGCTGTCAGAACAAAGCTCAGTGTGTCGACCAACTCAACGGATACTCCTGCTCCTGCCCCGATGGCTACAGGTGAGGCACAAACACACACAAACAAACACACACACACACATACAGAAACCTTAGAACTCACACACAACTTAGAACACTATCAAGCCATCTGTGGTATAAGGTTACTACTTCTTCTTATCAGCGGTGAAGTTTCTAACATCTCTGAATCTATCATTTTGACTTACTGACCTCTCTCTCTCTCTCTCTCCTCGCAACTTCCCCTCCCTCTCCTCCCGCAGTGGTCAGTTGTGTGAGGTGCCCCCCTCCCCGCGGTCTCTGTGTGACCTGGCAGACTGCCAGAACGGTGCCCCGTGTGTGGAGCGGGCAGGCCGGGCACTGTGCCAGTGTCTCCCTGGATTCGGAGGGCCTCGCTGTGAGAAGCTGGTCAGCGTTAACTTTGTAGACAGAAACTCCTACCTGCTGCTCTCTGACCTCAAGAACTGGCCCCAGGCTAACATCACACTGCAGGTATCTAACATCTCACTGCAGGTACTGTAACACACACGCACAGGCTAAATGTGTACACAGTGCGCACACACACACACACACACACACACACACACACACACACACACACTACAGTGTAGGTACTGAATTAACAATTCAACAGGCATGTGTTTGAGATCCATGCATGTACAGTAACTTGGACTTTTGGACTGTGACAGTGATGTCAAAGGGACATTTGCATACCTTTCATTCTATTGTGATATCTGTCCCCAGGTGTCGACAGCGGAGGAGAACGGTATCCTGCTGTATAATGGAGACAATGACCACATCGCTGTAGAGATGTATCAAGGTCACGTTAAGGTCAGCTACGACCCTGGCAGCCAGCCTGGACACGCTATCTATAGGTACACACGCACACATTCACACGCAAACACACAACACACACGCACACAAATCATATGCAGTAGCTATGTTATTGCATACGAAGTCCTGTCTAATCCCCACCGACAGTGAAAAATATGTCTATGTGCCTGGCAAGGTAGACAATTGCCCTGTAAGTGCTCTGGAAGACGTCTGCTAATGATTAAGTTTAAAAGGTATGTTTAAGAGCACAGTGATAACATCGTCTGTTTGCTCCTTTCCGTTACTTCCCCTGATTCTCTGCTAAATCTCCTGTAATTCCCTCTCATAGTACATGTTTTCCACCCAATTCTCTGTCTGTTTCTCCCCCTCCCTCTCTCTCTGTCTGCTTTCTCCCTCCCTCTCTCTCTGTCTGCTTTCCCCCTCCCTCTCTCTCTTTATGCAGTACTGAGACGATCAACGACGGTCAGTTCCACACGGTGGAGCTGGTGACCTTTGACCAGATGGTGAACCTGTCCATCGACGGGGGTCTCCCCACCACCATGGACAGCCTGAGGGGGGTCCGGCCCCTGAACGGGGAGGCTCCGCTATACGTGGGGGGTAGGGGCCCTCTCCAGAACACACCTCCTTCCTCCTCCTCTGCTGCAGGCACTACAACTACTACACTACTGTCAATGTCACCCCCCACTGCAACCCAACCCCAACACCAACCCACCACCACAACCAACCTCCCATCCCAAAACCACAACTACCGCAAGCGAGCCATATCGTGACCCAATCCTGCAACCTACCCAACTCCAAACCTAAATCCACCCAGTCCATCCCCCATTACGACTGTGTTTGTTAGAGCACGTCCAGCATACAAACAACGCGCACACACACTTATGAACACACGTATAAGAAAACACACTGATAAAGCCTTACAATATAAACCCCATACACACGTATACACACTCAGCAACACTGCAAAACAGGTGTCTAATATAGTGCACAGCAGTAAACCCCATGACCCTTGGCCCTATGAGCATCACCCCTTAAGGACTGCAGTGTTCAGGATACATACAGTATTCCTACCATATAATACATACTATATAGTCTTCTATTCTATTTCTGTGATTCCTACTATTTCCAGTTTTCATTCATCCTTACTAAACACATCCCTTTAGATCTCTATCTCTGTCCTACCAGACACAGTCTTCACTCTGGATATGTGATGTGGTATATTTGCATGGATGATGATTTCCTTGTTTCTTTTCATTTTCTTATTTTTTCACTTGTTAGTAATTCTCTGTAACCCGACTAGCCATTCTTGATATCAAAGCATTGATGTGTTGAAACAGAATTGATCTGATATCAGAAATGGCTGTGTGTCCAGAGTTTGTGATGTGATGTTTTGGTGCTGTGATGTGCTGTACTGTGGTGTACTGTACTGTGGTGTACTGTACTGTGGTGTACTGTACTGTGGTGTATGTTTGTGACTGTTGGCCACTGTATAGAAGAGTACGATACACATCACCCAATACCCTTTCTCCTTTTCACTGTCCTCTATTTCAAAGATGCTGTTTTGGAATTGAATTAGTGTCAAATCACTGTATTATATCAGAGAGAGTGTTGAACTACAAATAGTCAAATGTAATTTATTTAATTTAATTATTTAATCTAATTTTTATTAAAAGATCGGGAAATGGGCCCGGCTCTATATTTCTGCCAATACTTTCCCTCCCTACTGGCTCAGTAGCATATTTATTCATTTTGGACCAACATGTCCTATAAATCAAATGTTGATGTTAGTGGGAGTTTTGGAGGATTCGGCCCCTAGTTCCCCTAACTTCTCGTAATGAAGTTGTATTTTGGCTCCACTTCTATCACATTGCTGCAGTATATTCACATGCACATGGCTCTTTGAAAAAGCCTCCTCTTCATTCATTACCTCCATACCAGTCCTGTGTTAGCTGTTTCTCTTCTTCCCCTGCTTACCACTCACATACATCTCCCTTCTTCCTCCCCCTCTTCCTTCTCCTCTCTCTCCTCCTCCTCCTCTCTCTCCTTCTCCTCTTCTCTCTCCTTCTCCTCCTCTCTCTCCTCTTCCTCCTCCTCTCTCTCCTCCTCCTCCTCTCTCCTTCTCCTCTTCTCTCTCCTTCTCCTCCTCTCTCTCCTCTTCCTCCTCCTCTCTCTCCTCCTCCTCCTCTCTCCTCCTCCTCCTCTCTCTCCTTCTCCTCTTCTCTCTCCTTCTCCTCCTCTCTCTCCTCTTCCTCCTCCTCTCTCCTTCTCCTCCTCTCTCTCCTCCTCCTCTCTCTCCTCCTCCTCTTCGCTCTCCTCCTCCTCCTCTCTCTCCTTCCCTCCTCCCTCTCCTCCTCCTCCTCCTCCTCTCTCTCCTTTTCCTCCTCCGCCTCTCTCTTTCTCCTTCCCATCCCCTCTCTCCTCCCTCTCTCCCCCCCTCCTCTCTCTCCTCCTCCTCTCTCTCTCCTCTTCCTCCTCCTCTCTCTCCTCCTCCTCCTCCTCTCTCTCTAATTCCCTCCTCTCTCTTCTCCTCCTCCTCCTCCTCTCCTCCTCTCCTCCTCCTCCTCCTCCTCTCTCTCCTCCGCCTCCCTCTCTCTCTCTCCTCCTCCTCTCTCTCTCTCCTCCTCCTCTCTCTCCTTCCCCTCCTCTATCTCCTCCTCCTCCTCTCTCTCCGCCCCCTCCTCTCTCTCTCCGCCCCCTCCTCTCTCTCCTTCCCCTCCTCTCTCTCCTCCTCCTCTCTCTCCTTCCCCTCCTCTCTCTCCTCCTCCTTCTCTTCTCTCTCTCCTCTCTCTGCTTCCTCCTCCTCTCTCTCCTCCTCCGCCTCTCTCCTCTCCTTCCCCTCCTCTCTCTCCACATCCTCTCTCTCTCTCCTTCCCATCCCCTCCACTCCTCCTCCTCCTCTCACTCCTTCCCCTCCTCTCTCTCCTTTCTCTCTCTCCTCCTCCTCCCTCTCCTCTTTCTCTCTCTCCTTCTCCTCTTCTCTCTCCTCCTTCTCTCTCTCTTTTCCTCCTCCTCTCCCCTTCCTCCTCTCCTCTCTCTCCTTCCCTCCTCTCTCTCTCCTCCTCCTCTCTACTCCTTCCTCCACGTCCTCTTCTCCTTCCTCCTCCCTCTCTTCTCCTTCCCTCCTCCTGCCTTTCCTCCTTCCTCCTCTCCTCCTCCCCTCCTCCTCCCCTCTCCTCCTTCTCCCCTCCTCCTCTTCCCCTCTCCTCCTCCCTCTCTTCTCCTCCCCTCTCTCTCTCTCCTTCCCCTCCCTCTCTCCCCTCCTCTTTCCCCCCTCCTTCCTCTCCCCTTCTCTCCTCCTCCCCCCTCTCTCCTTCCCCCCCTCTCTCTCCTTCCCTCCCCTCCTCCTCCTCCTCTCTCTCTTTCCTCCTCTTCCCCCCCTCATCTCTCCTCTCCTCCTCCTCCCTCCTCCTCCTCCCCTCCCCTCCTCTCTCCTCCCTCCTCTCCTCCTCCCCCTCCTCCCCCTCCTCTCCTCCTTTTTCCCCCTCCCCCCTACCCTCCCCTCTCCCTCCTTCCCCTCCTCCTTTTTCCTCCCCTCCTCTTCCCCCCCCCCTCCTCTCCTCCCTTCCCCCCCTCTCCCTCCCCCCTCTCTCTCCCCTCCTCCTCCTTCCCCCCCCTCTCCTTCCCCTCCTCCCCTCCTCCCCTCCCCCTCCCCCTCCTCCCTCCTCCTCCCCTCTCTCTCCTTCCTCCTCTCTCCTCCTCCTCTCTCTCCCCTCCATCTCCTCTCTCCTCCTCCTCTCTCTCTTCCTCCTCTTCTCGCTCCTCTATCTCCTCTCTCTCCTCCTCCTCTCTCCTCCATCTCTCAGGTATGCCTGTGGACGTCCACTCGGCAGCCTTCCGGCTCTGGCAGATCCCGAATGGCTCCAGTTTCCACGGCTGCATCCAGAACCTGTATATTAACAACGAGCTGCAGGATTTCACCAAGACCCAGATGAAGCCGGGCGTGGTGCCAGGCTGTGAGCCCTGTAGGAAGATCTACTGCCTGAATGGTATCTGCCAGCCGGACGGGGCACAGGGACCAGTCTGCCACTGCCAGCCGGGCTGGAGCGGACCACACTGTGACCAGCCTGCCGCCAACACATGCCAGGGCAGCAAGTAAGAATAGACCACTAGGGTTATGATGATAATGCATTGCAAGTCTCAAACTGCAATTCATATTAACAGTTTAAGATAAGTCTTTACATATGTTCCACCCAAGCCTCTCAGTCTGACATACACTATACAGTGAGGGAAAAAAGTATTTGATCCCCTGCTGATTTTGTACATTTGCCCACTGACAAAGAAATGATCAGTCTATAATTTTAATGGTAGGTTTATTTGAACAGTGAGAGACAGAATAACAGCAAAAAATCCAGAAAAACTTATTTCAAAAATGTTATGAATTGATTAGAATTTTAATGAGGGAAATAAGTATATGACCCCTCTGCAAAACATGACTTAGTACTTGGTGGCAAAACCCTTGTTGGCAATCACAGAGGTCAGACGTTTCTTGAATTTGGCCACCAGGTTTGCAAACATCTCAGGAGGGATTTTGTCCCACTCCTCTTTGCAGATCTTCTCCAAGTCCTTAAGGTTTCGAGGCTGACGTTTGGCAACTCGAACCTTCAGCTCCCTCCACAGATTTTCTATGGGATTAAGGTCTGGAGACTGGCTAGGCCACTCCAGGACCTTAATGTGCTTCTTCTTGAGCCACTCCTTTGTTGCCTTGGCCGTGTGTTTTGGGTCATTGTCATGCTGGAATACCCATCCACGACCCATTTTCAATGCCCTGTCTGAGGGAAGGAGGTTCTCACCCAAGATTTGACGGTACATGGCCCCGTCCATCGTCCCTTTGATGCGGTGAAGTTGTCCTGTCCCCTTAGCAGAAAAACACCCCCAAAGCATAATGTTTCCACCTCCATGTTTGACGGTGGGGATGATGTTCTTGGGGTCATAGGCAGCATTCCTCCTCCTCCAAACACGGCAAGTTGAGTTGATGCCAAAGAGCTCCATTTTGGTCTCATCTGACCACAACACTTTCACCCAGTTCTCCTCTGAATCATTCAGATGTTCATTGGCAAACATCAGACGGGCATGTGCAGTGGGGAGAACAAGTATTTGATACACTGCCGATTTTGCAGGTTTTCCTACTGACAAAGCATGTAGAGGTCTGTAATTTTTATGATAGGTACACTTAAACTGTGAGAGACGGAATCTAAAACAAAAATCCAGAAAATCACATTGTATGATTTTTAAGTAATTAATTTGCATTTTTTTGCATGACATAAGTATTTGATACAGCAGAAAAGCAGAACTTAATATTTGGTACAGAAACCTTTGTTTGCAATTACAGAGATCATACGTTTCCTGTAGGTCTTGACTAGGTTTGCACACACTGCAGCAGGGATTTTGGCCCACTCCTCCATACAGACCTTCTCCAGATCCTTCAGGTTTCGGGGCTATCGCTGGGCAATAGGGACTTTCAGCTCCCTCCAAAGATGTTCTATTGGGTTCAGGTCTGGAGACTGGCTAGGCCACTCCAGGACCTTGAGATGCTTCTTACGGAGCCACTCTTTAGTTGCCCTGGCTGTGTGTTTCAGGTCGTTGTCATGCTGGAAGACCCAGCCACGACCCATCTTCAATGCTCTTACTGAGGGAAGGAGGTTGTTGGCCAACATCTCGCGATACATGAACCCATCCATCCTCCCCTCAATACGGTGCAATACGGTGCAGTCGTCCTGTCCCCTTTGCAGAAAATGCATCCCCAAAGAATGATGTTTCCACCTCCATGCTTCCGGTTGGGATGGTGTTCTTGGGGTTGTACTCATCCTTCTTCTTCCTCCAAACACGGCGAGTGGTTTTTACTAGATTACTTGTAGTTTTTCATGTTGTCTGTCTGTAATTTTTTTGTAATGACTTGGTGCTGCCTATCTTGGCCAGGACGCTCTTGAAAAAGAGATTTTAAATCTCAATGAGCCCTTCCTGGTTAAATAAAGGTTAAATAAAAAAAGTGGAGTTTAGACCAAAAAACTATATTTTTGTCTCATCAGACCACATGACCTTCTCCCATTCCTCCTCTGGATCATCCAGATGGTCATTGGCAAACTTCAGACGGGCCTGGACATGCGCTGGCTTGAGCAGGGGGACCTTGCGTGTGCTGCAGGATTTTAATCCATGACGGCGTAGTGTGTTACTAATGGTTTTCTTTGAGACTGTGGTCCCAGCTCTCTTCAGGTCATTGACCAGATCCTGCCGTGTAGTTCTGGGCTGATCCCTCACCTTCCTCATGATCATTGATGCCCCACGAGGTGAGATCTTGCATGGAGCCCCAGACCGAGGGTGATTGACCGTCATCTTGAACTTCTTCCATTTTCTAATAATTGCGCCAACAGTTGTTGCCTTCTCACCAAGCTGCTTGCCTATTGTCCTGTAGCCCATCCCTGCCTTGTGCAGATCTACAATGTTATCCCTGATGTCCTCACACAGCTCTCTGGTCTTGGCCATTGTAGAGAGGTTGGAGTCTGTTTGATTGAGTGTGTGGACAGGTGTCTTTTATACAGGTAACGAGTTCAAACAGGTGCAGTTAATACAGGTAATGAGTGGAGAACAGGAGGGCTTCTTAAAGAAAAACTAACATGTCTGTGAGAGCCGGAATTCTTACTGGTTGGTAGGTGATAAAATACTTATGTCATGCAATAAAATGCAAATTAATTACTTAAAAATCATACAATGTGATTTTCTGGATTTTTGTTTAAGATTCCGTCTCTCACAGTTTAAGTGTACCTAAGATAAAAAATTACAGGCCTCTACATGCTTTGTAAGTAGGAAAACCTGCAAAATCGGCAGTGTATCAAATACTTGTTCTCCCCACTGTATATGTGCTTTCTTGAGCAGGGGGACCTTGCGGGCGCTGCAAGATTTCAGTCCTTCACGGCGTAGTGTATTACCAATTGTTTTCTTGGTGACTATGGTCCAAGCTGCCTTGAGCTCATTGACAAGATCCTCCCGTGTAGTTCTGGGCTGATTCCTCACCGTTCTCTTGGTCATTGCAACTCCACGAGGTGAGATCTTGCATGGAGCCCCAGGCCGAGGGAGATTGACAGGTCTTTTGTGTTTCTTCCATTTGCGAATAATCGCACCAACTGTTGTCACCTTCTCACCAAGCTGCTTGGCGATGGTCTTGTAGCCCATTCCAGCCTTGTGTAGGTCTACAATCTTGTCCCTGACATCCTTGGAGAGCTCTTTGGTCTTGGCCATGGTGGAGAGTTTGGAATCTGATTGATTGATTGCTTCTGTGGACAGGTATCTTTTATACAGGTAACATGCTGAGATTAGGAGCACTCCCTTTAAGAGTGTGCTCCTAATCTCAGCTCGTTACCTGTATAAAAAACACCTGGGAGTCAGAAATCCTTCTGATTGAGAGGGGGTCAAATACTTATTTCCCTCATTAAAATGCAAATCAATTTATAAAAAAATTTACATGCGTTTTTCTGGATTTTTTTGTTGTTATTCTGTCTCTCACTGTTCAAATAAACCTACCATTAAAATTATAGACTGATAATTTCTTTGTCAGTGGGCAAACGTACAAAATCAGCAGGGGATTAAATACTTTTTTCTCTCACTGTATATACAAAAATATATGGACACCCCTTCCAATTAATGGATTTGGCTATTTCAGCCACACCCATTGCTGACAGGTGTATACAATTATTGTGAAGTGGAAACGTCTAGGAGCAACAACAGCGGAGCCGCGAAGTGGTAGGCCACACAAGCTCACAGAACGGGACCGCTGAGTGCTGAAGCGCGTAGCGCGTAAAATCCGCCTGGCCTTGCTTGCAACACTCACTACCAAGTTCCAATCTGCCTCTGGAAGCAACGTCAGCACAATAACTGTTTGTCGGGAGCTTCATGAAATGGGTTTCAATGGCCAAGCACCAAGTCTAAAATCACCAGGCGCAATGCCAAGCGTCGGTTGGACTGGTGTAAAGCTCGCCGCCATTGGACTCTGGAGCAGTGGAAACGCGTTCTCTGGAGTGATGAATCACGTTTCACCATCTGGCAGTCTGACGGACGAATCTGGGTTTGGCGGATGCCAAGAGAACTCTACCTGACCGAATGCATAGTGCCAACTGTAAAGTTTGGTGGAGGAGGAATAATGGGGCTGTTTTAATGGTCGAGCTAGGCCCCTTAGTTCCAGTGAAGGGAAATCTTAACCCTACAGCATACAATGACACATTCTAGACGATTATGTGCTTCCAACTTTGTGGCAACAGTTTGGCCCTTTCCTGTTTTAGCATGACAATGCCCTCGTGCACAAAGCAAGGTCCATACAGAAATGGTTAGTTGAGATCGGTGTGGAAGAACTTGACTGGCCTGCACAGAGCCCTGACCTCAACACCATCGAACACCTTCGAGATGAATTGGAACGCTGACAGTGAGCCAGGCATATTCACCCAACATCAGTGCCTGACCTCACTAATGCTCTTGTGGCTGAATGGAAGCAAGTCCCTAAAGCAAAGTTCCAACTTCTAGTGTAAAGCCTTCCCAGAAGAGTGGAGGCTTTTATAGCAGCATAGGGGGGAACAACTCATTTACGTTTACATTTACGTCATTTAGCAGACGCTCTTATCCAGAGCGACTTACAAATTGGTGCATTCACTCCATATTAATGCATATGATTTTGTTAGAGGAGCAGGTGTCTACATACTTTTGGTCATGTAGTGCATAATGATTGAATGATTAATTTATATTCCCTCTCCCTAGGTGTGTGCATGGGAAGTGTATTCCCTTTGACCTGCAGTCGTACCGCTGCGAGTGTGTGGAGGGTTACCGGGGTGCCCTGTGTAACCAGCAGGGGGAGCTGTTTAACACCTGCCACAGCAACAACTGCAAACACGGACGCTGCCAGATCTCTGATACAGGAGATGCCTACTGCCACTGTGAGGCCGGATACATCGGCAACCTCTGTGACGCAGGTAGGAGACACACACACACACACACACACACACACACACACAATTATTACTACTGTGGATACACCAGAGAGCTCCATGATGCAGATAGGAGATAGAGAGAGTTTGTTTTTCTCATTGGGGACTGTCTGGCATCCTAGTTTACTTAGATTGTCTCTGTTGTCACTTGTCTTTGATACAAATATCTATATTTACGCCTACAGAGTCAGTGTCTCTATCTTTCCTCTCCCTACAGAGTCAGAGTGTCTCTATCTTTCCTCCTACAGAGTCAGTGTCTTTCCTCTCCCTACAGAGTCAGAGTGTCTCTATCTTTCCTCTCCCTACAGAGTCAGAGTGTCTCTATCTTTCCTCTCCCTACAGAGTCAGAGTGTCTCTATCTATGTGGTCCTCTGTAGCTCAGCTGGTAGAGCACGGCGCTTGTAACGCCAAGGTAGTGGGTTCGATCCCCGGGACCACCCATACACAAAAATGTATGCACGCATGACTGTAAGTCGCTTTGGATAAAAGCGTCTGCTAAATGGCATATTTATTATTTTTATTTATCTATCTTTCCTCTCCCTATAGAGTCAGAGTGTCTCTATCTTTCCTCTCCCTACAGAGTCAGAGTGTCACTATCTTTCCTCTCCCTATAGAGTCAGAGTGTCTCTATCTTTCCTCCTACAGAGTCAGAGTGTCTCTATCTTTCCTCTGCCTACAGAGTCAGAGTGTCTCCATCTTTCCACCCCCTACAGAGTCAGAGTGTCTCTATCTTTCCTCTCCCCACAGAGTCAGAGTGTCTCTATCTTTCCTCTCTCTACAAAGCCAGTGTCTCTATCTTTCCTCTCCCTACAGAGTCAGAGTGTCTCTATCTTTCCTCCTACAGTCTCCTGAGTGGCGCAGTGGTCTAAGGCACTGCATCGCAGTGCTAACTGTGCCACTAGAGATCCTGGTTCGAATCCAGGCTCTGTCGCAGCCCGGCGCGACCGGGAGAACTCATGGGCGGTGCACAATTGGCCCAGCGTCGTCCAGGGTAGGGGAGGAATGGGCGGCAAGGATGTAGCTCAGTTGATAGAGCATGGGCGTTTGCAATGCCAGGGTTGTGGGTTCGATTCCCACGGGGGGTCCAGTATAAAAAAAAAAAAGATATGTATTCACTAACTGTAAGTCGCTCTGGATAAGAGCGTCTGCTAAATGACGTAAATGTAAATGTACAGAGTCAGAGTGTCTCTATATTTCCTCTCACTATAAAGTCAGAGTGTCTCTATATTTCCTCCTACAGAGTCAGTGTCTCTATCTTTCCTCTCCCTACAGAGTCAGTGTCTCTATCTTTCCTCTCCCTACAGAGTCAGTGTCTCTATCTTTCCTCTCCCTACAGAGTCAGTGTCTCTATCTTTCCTCTCCCTACAAAGTCAGAGTGTCACTATCTTTCCTCCTACAGAGTCAGAGTGTCTCTATCTTTCCTCTCCCTACAGAGTCAGAGTGTCTCTATCTTTCCTCCTACAGAGTCAGTGTCTCTATCTTTCCTCTCCCTACAGAGTCAGTGTCTCTATCTTTCCTCTCCCTACAGAGTCAGTGTCTCTATCTTTCCTCTCCCTACAAAGTCAGAGTGTCTCTATCTTTCCTCTCCCTACAGAGTCAGAGTGGTCTCTATCTTTCCTCTCCCTACAGAGTCAGAGTGTCTCTATCTTTCCTCTCCCTACAGAGTCAGTGTCTCTATCTTTCCTCTCCCTACAGAGTCAGTGTCTCTATCTTTCCTCTCCCTACAGAGTCAGAGTGTCTCTATCTTTCCTCTCCCTATAAAGTCAGAGTGTCTCTATATTTCCTCCTACAGAGTCAGTGTCTCTATCTTCCTCTCCTACAGAGTCAGTGTCTCTATCTTACCTCTCCCTACAGAGTCGGTCTCTATCTTCCCCTCCCCACAGAGTAGAGTGTCTCATCCTTTCTCTCCCCATAAAGTCAGAGTGTCTCTAATTTCCTCCACGAGTCAGTGTCTCTATCTTTCCCCCTTCCCCAAGAGTCAGTGTTCTATCTTTTTCTCCCTTAAAAAGAGTCAGGTCCCCTATCTTTCCCCTCCCTTTCAAAGTCAGTTCACCCATTTCCTCCCCAGAGTCAGAGTGTCTTATCTTTCCCCCCCCCCCACAGAGTCAGGAAATGTCTCTATCTTTCCTCCTACCCGAGGGCAGAGTGTCTTATCTTTCCCCCTAGAGGGCAGAGTTTTCTCGATCTTTCCCCTCCACAGAGTCAGAGGGGCTCTTTTCTTTCCCCTACCCGAAATCAGAGTGTTCATCCCTTTTTTTTCCCCCACAGAGTCCCGAGGGTCTCTATCCCTTTTCCCCTCCCTACCGAGTTTAGAGTGTCTCTTTTTTCTCTCCCCCACCGAGTCAGGGTTGTCCTATCCCTTTCCCCTCCCTTTTTGGTCGAGTGTCCTATCTTTCCTCCCCGAGTTTAGAGTTTTCTCTAAACTTTCCTTCCCCCAGGGTCCGAGGGTCTCTATTTTTTCCTTTTCCCCACAGAGTCAGAGTGTCTCTATCTTTCCCCTCCCTTAGAGTCAGAGTGTCTTTTCCTACAGAGTCAAGGGTCACATTTTCCTTCCCCCAAGAGTCAGGGCCCCTATTTTTTCCCCCACAGGGCAGTTTTCTATTTTTTCCTCTTTTCCCATAGAGTCAGAGTGTTTCTATCTTTTTCCCCTTCCCCCCAGAGTCAGGGGGTCTCTATCTTTCCTCTCCCTACAGAGTCGTGGGCTCTATCTTTCCTTCCCCATAGAGTTTAGAGTGTCTAATTTTTTCCCTACGAGTCAGAGTGTCTTAAACTTTTCCCCTCTACAGAGGCAGTGTCTCTATCCCTTTCCCCTCCCTACAGAGGAGTTTTCTTATCTTTCCTCCTACAGAGTCAGGTGTCCTCTATCGTTCCTCCCTACAGAGTCAGAGTGTCTCTATCTTTCCTCTCCCTACAGAGTCAGAGTGTCTCTATCTTTCCTCTCCCTACAGAGTCAGAGTGTCTCTATCTTTCCTCCTACAGAGTCAGAGTGTCTTTCCTCTCCCTACAGAGTCAGAGTGTCTCTATCTTTCCTCTCCCTACAGAGTCAGAGTGTCTCTATCTTTCCTCCTACAGAGTCAGAGTGTCACTATCTTTCCTCTCCCTATAGATTCAGAGTGTCTTTATCTTCCTCCTACAGAGTCAGTGTCTTATCTTTCTCTCCCTACAGAGTAGAGTGTCTCTATCTTTCCTCTCCCTACAGTCAGAGTGTCTCCATCTTTCCTCTCCCTATAGAGTCAGAGTGTCTCTATCTTTCCTCCTACAGAGTCAGAGTGTCTCTATCTTTCCTCTGCCTACAGAGTCAGAGTGTCTCCATCTTTCCACCCCCTACAGAGTCAGAGTGTCTCTATCTTTCCTCCCCCACAGAGTCAGAGTGTCTCTATCTCCTCTCTCTACAAAGCCAGTTTCTCTATCTTTCCTCTCCCTACAGAGTCAGAGTGTCTCTATCTTTCCTCCTATTTGAACAGTGAGAGACAGAATAACAGCAAAAAATCCAGAAAAACGTATGTCAAAATTTTTATAAATTGATTAGAATTTTAATGAGGGAAATAAGTATATGACCCCTCTGCAAAACCTGACTTAGTACTTGGTGGCAAAACCCTTGTTGGCAATCACAGAGGTCAGATGTTTCTTGTATTTGGCCACCAGGTTTGCAAACATCTCAGGAGGGATTCTGTCCCACTCCTCTTTGCAGATCTTCTCCAAGTCATTAAGGTTTCGAGGCTGACGTTTGGCAACTCGAACCTTCAGCTCCCTCCACAGATTTTCTATGGGATTAAGGTCTGGAGACTGGCTAGGCCACTCCAGGACCTTAATGTGCTTCTTCTTGAGCCACTCCTTTGTTTCCTTGGCCGTGTGTTTTGGGTCATTGTCATGCTGGAATACCCATCCACAACCCATTTTCAATGCCCTGGCTGAGGGAAGGAGGTTCTCACCCAAGATCTGACGGTACATGGCCCGTCCATCGTCCCTTTGATGCGGTGAAGTTGTCCTGTCCCCTTAGCAGAAAAACACCCCCAAAACATAATGTTTCCACCTCCATGTTCAACAGTGGGGATGTGGTTCTTGGGGTCATAGGCAGCATTCCTCCTCCTCCAAACACGGCGAGTTGAGTTGATGCCAAAGAGCTCGATTTTGGTCTCATCTGACCACAACACTTTCACCCAGTTCTCCTCTGAATCATTCAGATGTTCCTTGGCAAACTTCAGACGGGCATGAATATGTGCTTTCTTGAGCAGGGGGACCTTGCGAGCGCTGCAGGATTTCAGTCCTTCATGGCGTAGTGTGTTACCAATTTTTTTCTTGGGGACTATGGTCCCAGTTGCCTTGAAATCATTGACAAGATCCTCCCGTGTAGTTCTGGACTGATTCCTCACCATTCTCATGATCATTGCAACTCCACGAGGTGAGATCTTGCATGGAGCCCCAGGCCGAGGGAGATTGACAGTTATTTTGTGTTTCTTCCATTTGCGAATAATCGCACCAACTGTTGTCACCTTCTCACCAAGATGCTTGGCAATGGTCTTGTAGCCCATTCCAGCCTTGTGTAGGTCTACAATCGTGTCCCTGACATCCTTAGAGAGCTCTTTGGTCTTGGCCATGGTTGAGAGTTTGGAATCTGATTGATTGATTGCTTCTATGGACAGGTGTCTTTTATACAGGTAACATGCCTCTATTAACAGCGCCGGAGAAGATGGCTGCCGTTTTACAGCCCTCTAACCAATTGTACTATTATGTGTGTTTTTCCGCGTTATTTGTAATTAATTTTTTACATAATGTTTCTGCCATCGTCTCTTATAACCAAAAAGAGCTTCTGGATATCAGGACAGCGATTACTCACCTCGTATTGGACGAAGATTTTTTCTTCAACGAGGCCCACCCGACAAGGCCCAAATCCCCGTCATTCGCGTTAGGAAGAGACGGAGATATCGTGGACGTAGTTCGGGGTGCCTTGTAAGGATCCGACGGCGAGCGAGTAAACTGC